CTGAGTTGTGACAAACTCTTAATAAATTAGTTGTTTTTTTTATTATTGATGGAATCAACATGACCCATAATGACTTTACCAAGGATACAAGTTGTCTAGTTGTTATTAGAACAATATGATAGCAACTTAGAGATGCGTCCAAAATGCTAATAAGCTTAAGATTAGTAGGTAATTATTGGATGAGAGAGTTAGTTGATGAATATAACTTTCAAGAAATCATGATTAACAAGTCAATCAAGGAAAAATTATCTTTCCTTTAGACCATGATCTCTTATAATTTTTTATATATTGAAAAATGACTATATTATATATATTTGATTAGACATCCTAAAACACAAAAGTCGATTAGGCTAATTGTCAAATTTGTTGGTTACTGCCTAAGCTCTCATGTGATGCTCCTAGCTACGTAATTCAATTCTCAATTGTTACATTCCTTGATTTCATTATTATACAAAATTCATTTTTAAATGTACAATCAGAAGTTCTTTCATCAAATTTTGAATTCATCTACACAAGTACTAAATAGGTAATAAATACCATAGAAACTATTGTCAAAGTAATATATCTATATAAAAATGAATACCTTTGACGCGCGCGGGTGGTGGATCCTTTTAAAAATAGTGCAATTTTGAAGAATCCGACACAAGTGCAACAATATTTTTGAAGAGTTCGAGCACGAACATCATAATGAAAACAAAATGATATTGCATCTAGGGTTGGAAAATAGGCCTGATACCAAAAAACTACATATACAATAATTATAAATAATAGCCTGTTCAAAGTCGTGAACTCACACCGCTATTTTGAAGGCAAAAAAAAGAAGAAAGTTTGATGATTTCTCTGATTTATATATTGCAAGTTGCTTTTAATCAAGTATAATGTAGACATCTTTCAAGTTGCCAAGTTTTAATTATTATATGGTACAGCTTTATTTGCTTTTTTATTTTCCTATAATAATATTATGTACTCTGTCGGATTTTGTATAGTTGGGTGGGGTTTGGACTATATAATTAAAAATTTAGTAGAAGTGGAATTATTGTTTAAAAACTTATCTGGATTACACTCAATTTATTTGATTATTGGAATAACAAAGTGAGTAGGAAAAAAAAAAAGTAGCTGCAAATCAATTAAAATTTGGTAGTTATTTTGATTGGGGTGTCAATTTGATGCAAGACATTCTACTATACATACCTTTTGTTATTTACAATCCTAATACTTTACTGACATGAGATTTGCATATAAGTGGATATTGATACTATATATCCAAAAATACTTTTTTTTTGCAAAAAATAATTTTCATATTATATTTTGGAGGTTTGGTTAAACAATTAGAGGGTGACCTTTCATAGTGAGTATATTGATTAATAACCATCTTTTATAGTTAGTTTACGTTATTAATTGATAACCTATAAATTAGTTGATATGACAAAAAAGTAGTCTAACAATGTATACAACTTAAATGGAAACAATAAATAGCTACAAGCCTACATGTTTGACAATCAATTTTTTGCCTATACATACGATGAAACTTTGCAAGAAAGCTACCCACAGACTATAAGTACCCCAAGCTATATATGTTGCACACTCTTCAAAAATATTTTCGACTCGGGTAGGACCTTCTAAAAATGTCAATTCCTCTTGTTATGTCTAAATCACTTTGGAGTTTATGCAACTCTGACTATCCAAAAATATTATCTCATTCGTATATGATATCTTTAAAAAATGTGTTGTTTTTGAAAATTTTGGTATGCATCCGAGGGGAATTTGGACTGAAATTAGATGGATATATCAAAATGTGTTGAGTTAATGAATGGTCGAGTTATTGATCCTCCAGTTACTAAAGCTAAAATGAGTTGGGCTAAAATATGGTTATAACCCAATGGCCAATCCATTCAACTCTTACTAAATTTTATTATTTTATTTGTTCTTTTATATTATTTTAATAGCTTATAAAATCATTTTTTTTTGTTATATAAGGGACCTATATATAATATAGAGAAAATTGTATGAAATAGAATTAAATTAAATGTTATAGCCATAGTTTCTTTTATTTGTAATTCGCAGCAAACATTCCATGTTTTTTGCCATCCATTTGTATATCGAAATATACAAATGCAGGACCCATTTGTATATCGAAATATACAAATGCAGGACCCATTTGTATATCGAAATATACAAATGCAGGACCCATTTGTATATCGAAATATACAAATGCAGGACCCATTTGTATATCGAAATATACAAATGCAGGACCCATTTGTATATCGAAATATACAAATGCAGGACCCATTTGTATATCGAAATATACAAATGCAGGACCCATTTGTATATCGAAATATACAAATGCAGGACCCATTTGTATATCGAAATATACAAATGCAGGACCCATTTGTATATCGAAATATACAAATGCAGGACCCATTTGTATATCGAAATATACAAATGCAGGACCCATTTGTATATCGAAATATACAAATGCAGGACCCATTTGTATATCGAAATATACAAATGCAGGACCCATTTGTATATCGAAATATACAAATGCAGGACCCATTTGTATATCGAAATATACAAATGCAGGACCCATTTGTATATCGAAATATACAAATGCAGGACCCATTTGTATATCGAAATATACAAATGCAGGACCCATTTGTATATCGAAATATACAAATGCAGGACCCATTTGTATACCGAAATATACAAATACAGGACCCATTTGTATACCAAAATATACAAATAGACCCAAATATAGATTTTTTATGTATATATATACCGAAATATACAGATTAATAGTCATAGCAAACATAAAATTTGTTATGGAGTGCAATTATACAAACTATAGCTATAACATATAAATATGATTTTTATGTTTGCTATATGTGAAAGTTGCTCTATAATATATCAAATAAAAAAATATTTTGACAAGATTTCTAATTAATTGATTTGATAAAAGGAAGTGTGTACATTGTCGCTCTGCCTGCCTTTCAACAGTGCCTAGAGGACAGGCCAAATGCAACAAGGCGACAACCGGTGAGTGATGGGGGACTGGAGATGTACATCTCAAGGCACATCATGACCTACATGTAACACCAGCAAGGCCTGAACTAAATATCAGTCCAAACTTTGAGGTATTGAAATGGGTTAACAATCAGCCAAAACTTAAAATGAATTAGATGAGTTATATTATTATCTTATGAACTAATTTTATCACCTTCGAAACAACATTTTAAAAGAATCCGAACGACATTTTGGACTACATATGCAGTATAGTCAGTACGTTTGGTAAGTTGTGACAGTTGATTCCCTTCCCTCTCAAAGGGGTGAGAGTCCTTATCCATGACATGTCTATCAAGTATCAACCAACCAATAATATTTCATTCACAATAAACCTCATGAAAGCTAAGTCCACAAAACTCCTAACAAAAAAAAATCACTTTCTTTTTCTCCCCCCTAAGTATCTGCACGTGAATTCCCAATAATTTCTCATGCATTTGTGGGGTCCCCTCCCCCACACCCCTACCCCTTTTGTTTTCATGCCTAACTCCATAAGAATCTCATTCTCTCCAACTCTTTTTTCTTCATGTCTATTATAGACCTTTGTTGTGTATGTTCATCTATAGAGAGCTTTAAAACAATGTCACTTTGTCAATATTCCATTGTATTTGCTCTTCTTTTTGTAGGAGCATTTGGATATGGAGATAATGAACTATTTCTCCCACTCAAAACACTTCAAAAGATGCATCACAAACATAATGAGCCAAGTTGTTCATCTCAAAAATCAAGTAAGTCTATTGCAAAAACAACATTGTGTACATATATTGAGATGTGGTTAATTATCAAACTCTTTCTTGGGATCTGTTATCATAGATTTAGCTATTTTTCTCTGTTTCTCAAATCCCAATAGACTAAACATTATGTGATTTTCCAGGGAGTGAAAATGGAGCAATTATACTGGAAATGAAGCATAAAGATTACTGCTTTAGGTCAAGGGGTGACTTGAACAAAAGGCTGCAGAAGAGATTGCTAGCTGATGATATTCGAGTTCGTTCGATACAATCTAATATCAAGAAAATCAGTTCTAAGCAAGTTGAGGCTTTATCACAGACTACTACTACTCAAATTCCTATCAATTCAGGTGTTACAATGCAGACTCTAAATTACATTGTTACTGTGACATTAGGCGGTCGAAATATGACAGTGATTGTGGATACAGGAAGTGATCTTACTTGGGTTCAATGCCAACCTTGTAGATTGTGTTATAATCAACCAGAACCACTTTTCAACCCCTCTATTTCCCCTTCTTTTCAAACAGTTGCATGCAATTCATCAGCCTGTCTGTCTCTTGAATCTGCAACTGGGAATTCAGGATTGTGTGGGACTAATTCACAAACTTGTGGTTACCTTGTAAGTTATGGAGATGGATCGTATACGAAAGGTGATCTTGGACAGGATCATTTGGTTCTTGGAAGAACATCAGTTGACAATTTTGTTTTTGGGTGTGGGAGGAATAATAGAGGCTTGTTTGGTTTAGCTTCAGGTCTTATGGGACTTGGAAGGAGTGATCTTTCTTTAATATCTCAAACTTCTGGTGTATTTGGAGGTGTTTTCTCCTATTGTTTGCCTTCAACTGAGGCAGAGTCCTCTGGTTCTCTTATATTTGGGGGTGATCCTTCAGTTTTCAAGAACTCTACACCAATCTCTTACACTAAAATGGTTCCAAATCCACAGCTTTTTAGCTTCTATTTCCTCAATCTAACTGGAATGACTATTGGTGGGGTTGCTGTTCAAGATTCAAGTTTTGGGAAAAGTGGATTTCTCATTGATTCGGGCACGGTTATCACAAGGCTCCCTCCTTCCATTTACAAAGCTGTCAAGGCTGAGTTCTTGAAACAATTTTCAGGTTACCCTTCAGTACCAGGTTATTCAATTCTTGACACTTGCTTTGATCTCTCTACATATGAAGAAGTGAACATTCCCACCATAAAAGTACATTTCGAGGGCGATGCTCAGATGGAAGTTGATGTTGCTGGGGTTTTCTATTTTGTGAAGAATGATGCATCTCAGGTCTGTTTAGCACTGGCAAGCCTGCAATATGAAGGTGAGATTGGAATTATTGGAAATTTTCAGCAGAGAAACACAAGAGTCATATATGATACAAAACAATCACAAGTTGGATTTGCAAAAGAAACCTGCAGTTTCATGTAGATGACAGAAAAAAAGGTAAGGCCAATAACGACTCGTTGGCGATAATATCTTTGCTTAACATACATAACTATTTGAGGTTTATTTATCTACTATGTAGGAAGATACAGATGATATTATGGGTGTTTAATTAAGTGTAAAATATCCCATAAACTTCTCTTCATGATGTAACACTTCCAATCATTTTATAATATGTGAAAACTGTATGTATGCAGACTTGTCTATAACAACAACACTGCTAGGTTCTATGTACAAAGAGAAGAAGATGAAATTTTGTTTTGTGTGACACAGAAAATATCGACAGCAAAAGAAAACAAATTGACATATTCTTTACAAGCATATAAAAACAGGCATCAGCCCCACAATAGAATGTCTCGACAACCGAGCCTGTCCTTTCATAAGAAAAAACGAACATATCATAATTTTTTGAAGACAGAAAGAGATAAAATAAGTGGTTAATCCACCAGTCACAAAATGATTCCTTTTTCTACTCGAAATCACAACAAGGCCACAGCCAACCATATTGGCAGTGGCATCTTTCAATTCTTGAGCTGGATTCCTTGATATTACAAGCAACAATACAAAAATTACGCCTCAGTCCCAAACAAGTTAGGATCGGCAACGCTGGTCTCAAGCCCGGATAAGGCTGGCAGCCAGCTTAAAACTTGATATTACAAGCATTTAAAAAAAATAAAATTACAAGGTCATTTGTAACATTAAACTAAGCTAAAGCCATACCAGATAAATATAATTTTGCTTGGTCTGCAATCTCTGTAGATCCATCTTTCTTGTACAATCTCTGTAATGCTGCTAAGAAAGTAGCAGCTGAGGGACAAAACACATGGTGACACCAGAATGATGGGAGTGTGTTTTCCCTGTCATTGTACTCATGAATCCACGTGATCGACATTGGTTACCAGTGGAGCCATCTCCAGTTTTTGAATGTCCAAAAGTCCTCTTCGCCCTTTTTTGAGTTATCGTCACTCTTTTTTGTCTTTAACATCTCAGTTGGTAGAATAGAAGCGTTGGGATCACTGTTTGGCACCAAAAACAGAATGCCAATTGGAAGGTCTCTCGAAAAGCTCCGGATCACTATTGCTATCCAGAGGCTGTCATATTGAGTTCTTGTGACATTCAAGGTGTGAAGTAACAGGCCTCCAGCCCAGGATGCTGTGAGACTGCCAACATGATCAATTGACATTAGCAACGCGAAGAAAGTTCCTTCAATGCCAGAAGGGCAAAGTTTTGAACTGAGTACAATAAGAGGCATCCATCTGAGACGCCCAATCATATGAGAAATTGCTGCATCGCTTACAGCAACAACATAATCAGGGATGCCAAACTGCAAGTTTACTCGTGAGACCAATATTAAATCAAGCAGTCGTGAAGCACCATATAATAGCTGAGACCAAAAAAGTACGAAACGAAAAGGATGGTTCCTAAAAGCATTCTGGTAAAGGAGAACTCCAAGAAGATATCCTACTGCACCGACAGAGGATATGGTCCCTACAATCTCCTGCATGAATGTCGAAATGGATTTATATTCTGTGGTTAAGATGTTTTTGAACTACATAAGTAGCAAATAAGAGATTTGCAAAATATAGAGCAAGAGAAGACAGGTCTTGAATCAGTTTGAATTAACAAGTTTGTGGCTAGACAACATTGAAAAAATAAAATTAAAGTACCTTTGAGAACAATGGGCCACCCTTTGCATCTGTATACCAGTAAAACATTCCCTCGTGATTATGCAAACTCAATGCTAGAGAAATGTACATGTATAGACATGGCCTCCACACATTCTCGCATTTTAGTGCCATCCACATAGCCTTACAAGCAGCCAAGAACTTTTGACTTACCTGTTGCAGAAACATACCTCAACAAAACAAGTATAAACAATCAAGAAGTATCCTAAACTGCGCAAAGGGCAATATGAGGTTCAAATATACCTGCCTGTATGCAACATCGTGTATAAAGGGTTCATGCAGCATCATTCCTACCAAAATGACCAGAGCAGCTGGAATGCTTAAAATTCCAAACACCCCCTACCAGATAACAGCTATCAGGAGTCTAGGAAATATCAAGCGATAAAAGGAAATTACCAGTAATTCAGGCTTCTCATGCATCATCATCATTAAGTTAAGCCACCAAAAAGATTAATGAAGCCATAAATTCTTATGGATACAAACTCCCCCGAATTTGAGTGTACATAATAGTACCTTAATTTTAATATTATTAACAAACAATTATATCTGAAGAATATCCAGTGGTTTCATCTCACAGGGAAAAAACATTCAAGAAGATTCATTGGGAAATCAAGAACAATTGCCCAGGCTTGATAAATGATTAGCCAATTAGCAAAATGCAAATTAAATCAGAAGGAATAGTCTATTGACAATGATTGAAATAAGTCAGAGATAGCAAACCTTAGATCCAATTAGATGAACCAAAAAGCCACCGATAGTGAACCCAATCAGTTGCCCCACTGAAGAGCTCACTCCACACAAGCTTTGCATGTCACTGGCAAGAGAAGGGTGGCTTATGCTGTTCTCTGTCACACAGGCATCAATAGTAACATCTGCTACTGCTTGTGCTGCACTGGCTCCCGTTAGACACAACAAAGCAGATGCAAGTTGTAATTTGTGCTTGAGTGACAGACTGAGCATGGAAAAAGCACCAAACAGACCTAAAGAATAAAGGGAGGTCGGTATTCTCTTCTTATCTATATGTATTCCTTAAGCATCAAAAGATTATCTTCCTTCAATCACAGTCTTGTTTCCTTTCCCTACATTTTCCGCGCAGCTGGTCAAATGCTAGTGTCTTACGCAGATTTTTCCAGCAGGTTAATTTCCATGTTTCTTTGGTTAGATGAAATCATCCCAACAGAAGTACAGATACACCGGGAACTGCAATACAATTTTTAGCAGAAACACAACAACTTCCATATAACTAGATTTGCTATGATGATAGTAAGCAATCAAATATTTTAGCATCCAAAACTGTTAAGCTGGTTTACATAACACAGCCAACAAATATTTTCTTGCTCAGACTTTTGAACAAGTAAAACTGTCTAAGGAGTGGCAACAATAAGAAAGTTTGAATACTCCTTTATTACCACAGCTAATGCAAAGTTAACTGATGAAAACTAAGATTGAGTATTATTCTTATATGTTATATAGATTGAAAGCTCAACTAAATGATTAAGAGTTCAAACAAGGCTTCGTCTGACATCAAAAAACTCCACTTGGCCAAGGATTTTATGTTAGTAGTCACGTTTAGCCTTTAGTTTACTAATACTTAACAGAAGATACAGTTTATTTTTTATTGTCACCACTCTTAAGTCAAAAAGGAGAAGTTTTGAGTTCAACAGGAAGATATTGAATTGGGAAAAGACCATTACTCCTAGAAGTTAAGGGGAGACATGTGATTTCAATATTTCCATTCAGAAGCAAACAAACCTAAATGTTCATAACTTAGGGTGTGTTCATTTGGAGTTCTATAGGAAAAAGTTCCTTAAAAATGAGAAAAGTGACTTCCCTATTGAAAGTAGGGAAAACAAGTTCCACAAATGACATTCCGCATTGATTGTTTCCTCTCAACCGTCCAACACACCTCATTTTCACCTCCACCACTACACACCCTATCCCGGTAGTATCCCCCACCCTCACCTCCCAAGTATTTGTCTAGGCTATATACAAATGTTTTTAAGATAATATGTTTTACTTACATACTAAACTCGAGAATATGAATAAGAAATCCACTTATTTTCGTGGAAAACATTTCCTTCCTAAAGAATCCGAATTTAGAAATCACAAAAAGAAGAAAAAAAAGGACAGGTAAAATAATGGCATATAAATGATTAAATCAAAGAAACATGAAAACAGAGAGATATATACAAATAGAAAAGAAAATCACAAAGGACAACAAACAAATAACACAGTCAAACATGATGATTCACTTCAAGAAACACAAAATAAGAAAAGAAACATACAAATACAACAAATATCATTAATGTTAACATCAAACAATAAATGGTGAATTAGCTTTTAATGCCACCACCCAAAAAAAAAAACACATTCTTGAAAACATACCAGCAAGAATAAAGTATGGCCTCCTTCTATATCCAATAATTGGAAGAGTATCTGTTAAAAGCCCCTAAAGAGGTTTCACAATCCAAGGAATTTGAATTATTCCAGCATAAATTTGAGCATCAGAAGGCATCCTTCATATAATACTGAGTACTAATCTTACTTAACCCTAAACTCATTCCTTGATTAATACCATAAATAATAACCACACCAGACACAAAACTCCAATGGAGTTCATCACATAGCATTCTGAACCAGTAATATGGCTTCAAAATTAGTTCAAAGATTCTATTTTTCTTTTGTTCTTGACTTTGTGAAATTGCTCCTTTAATGGAAATTCATCTTCTTGGCTCATGGTCATTATTCAACTAGTAATGTAGATAAAAAATGAAAGTAGTATGCAGAGTCAACGGGAAATGGAAAATCAAAGTAATAAAGAAGAAGACATAACAGGAAAATATTAACTTTTTTATTTGTCCTTCTTCCCTCGGTTTGCAACATTCTTCGAGCATAGAGTTACGATTAAATTTGAATAATGTAGTATAGGTCCATTCGGAGTGGTGCTCTCAATATAATTTTTTTCATATTCAAGGCTTGAATCTGTTCCAACATGATTTTTTTCATATTCAAGGCTCGAATCCGTTCCAACGTGATTTTTTCCATATCTAAGGCTTGAATCCGTCCCAATATGATTTTTTCCATATCCAAGGCTCGAATCCATTCCAACATGATTTTTTTCATATCCAAGACTTAAAACTGTCCCAACATGATTTTTTCTATATCCAAGACTCAAATCCAAAATAAGGCAATCCCACCATTGCACCACAACCAATATTGGTTAAAAAGTTAATTACTCTATTGGGTGAGGAAATATATTTTCTGTTTTAAGTCCTCTTGACCAGTTCATTTCTTTATCTCCATTTTTTCATTGATTTAATGGTAAAAAAAAAAAATTGAACTATCACGTTTTCGTAAGCTTTACTCCTTAATTATGTCCCATATTAGGGATAAAACACTTTCTAACAAAGACGATTTTGTATTCAAGAGAACTCAAACACGAGACCTTTTTGATAAGGATGAAAGAGTATTTACCACTCTACTACAATCCTTGCACTTCAAAGTTAATCAATTCAACTTGTTCCTTTTTTATACTCGAACTATTACCATAAGTGATGATTATTCATTATTTGAAATAGAGACCTCTAACTTAAGGTGAAACAGTCTCGTCCACTGTCTACAATTTTTTAAAAAGAAAATTATCAATTTTGTAGTTCTGGCAAAATTATGATCCAGTCAGTCCAAATAGCAATATTATTGTGTTAACCATAAATTGATTCAATCAAATGACAGGCCGAAATAGCTGCTGTTGGTACTGAATCATGGGCCACTCTTTTTTATAGACCACTTTGACAAAATTGTACTCATAAATTAACGACACTGAGAATGAGTGGTTTCATATCATAATTTGAGATATTTTAATATAATAAGTGATTCATGAGCTTATATTTTGTTAAAATAACCTCACATTTATATCTACTAACCATTTGTTTCATATGTAAATAAAATTTATAATCACATTATTACTTTTTAAAATTTATTATTCTCACTAACATAAAATTTATTATTCTCACCAACATATAGTCACTTTAACTCACACCTCACGATTGTGAAACTTTTCAACATTCACTTGAAACAATTAATCGGCATGTTAAAATAGTTGTTGAGGCAATTAGCAAGATGGCACCAACATTTATACAACCAAAAAATATGACTGGTGTACATTCCAAAATTTGACATAATACTCGATTTTGGCCTTGGTTTAAGGTAAAATTTCAATCACATTAATAAATTTATTTTATGGTCTTAATAAGTGAACATTTATATTTTNNNATTTTTATTACTCTTACAAACATTATTTTTATGAAGTGCATTCTATAATGCTTCCAATTTATTTTATGTTCTCTAAACTAATATTGATGTATTTTTTATTTGGTAGGATTGTGTTGGTGCGATTGATGGAACATATATAGAAGGGGAGGTTCCTAAAGCGGTGCAACAAGCATATCGTAATTGCAAAGGAAGAACATCACAAAATGACTTATGTGTTTGTGATTTTGATATGCGATTTACCTTTGTTGTTGCTGGTTGGGAAGGTACTGCACATGATAGTAAAGGACTTAAGAATGCACTTGTTGAACCAACGTCACAATTTCCATTTTCGCCACATAGTAACTTTAAATTGCATCCTTAGAATAAATATTATTTATTTACACAAAGCTGTCTCATTTATGTCACATATGCTTTTAGTAATTTTTTATAAAATGTTTTTTGGTAGATAAATATTATGTTGTTGATGCTAGTTTCCGAAACACAAACGAATTTTTAGCTTCATACAAAGGACTATGATATCATTTGCAAGATTACTGAGGAAGTGAAAGAGAGCCTCAAAATGCCAAAGAACTATTTAATTATAGGCATTCATCTCTGCGCAATGTGATTGAACGAACTTTTGGAGCTTGGAAAAATAGATTTAGAATACTGAAATAAGGCATGAACCATTGTGATATTGATACACAAGTGAAAATTGTCATAGCTTGTGCAGTGTTACATAATTATTTGCGAAAATATCAAAGTAGTGACGAAATATTTATGGTCTATGAACATGAAGATATAGTTGCGGAGGATATTGACCAACAAATGGCTCAAAGTAACAATGTTGGTTCGTCTTCTCGGTCACATGATCGAGAAATGCAAGTTCAATGTGACGAAATTGTTTTTACTATGTGGGAGGATTATATTAAAGACTAGTACACTACAATTTATGTTCAATTTTTTTTTATCAAATTAAAGTTAGATGAAACAATTACTTAAGTGGAGAACAAAAACTTTGTAATAATTTATTATGCGATTTTATAATTTTTTATTTATTTGTATTAAGATTGAAATAAACAATTGGGGCTATTTTAATAGTTTTACAACTTATGAGATTTTTATGTTTATGAGAAAATATACAACACAAAAATTTCATATCGCATGTCCAAACAAACCTTCAATTTCATCTCATGATTCCATATCATGATACCATATCGCATGGCCAAACGGGCCTTACTAAAAGCTAGTTCAAACAACTCAATTCTCTAAAATAAGCATTTTTAAGAAAATAAATATTTCGACTTCCCTGAATATTGGCCAAACAAATTATATGTTTGATTAGAATGACGTTTAAGAAAACATTTTTTATTATTATTACCTTAAATTAAAATATAACTTACCAAAAATATCATTTAAAATTTATAGTTTTAAACCTGCCATGTCATTTATAAACGAATGTTGTAACTAAAAAATATATTATTTTAAAAAATTATTGTACATACTTGAATATATATATATTTTAAAAAGTTGAACGGAAATTTGATTAAAAACCAAATTAAATGATGAATAAGTATCCTCCACCCTGGGTTACATGGTCGTATAAATAGAATTTTGGGAACCCTAAAGAATAGTTAGGTACTTCACTTAAACGTCTACTTTATTAATTAATGACTAATGCCCTAATTTTTGTCTACTTATTAAAGAGACGTCGCTAATTACGCGAGTATTAATCTTAATTAAATGAATTAATTCGTTTGGCCACCCACATATACCACTTCTGATGGGCCAACTTTTGTAATGGTCACAAAAGAGCCCAAATTAAACAAATTTCTCTCATGTCAATTGTGAAACTCATCACAGCTTCAATAGAAACAAGCTTGTGATTTTACGGTTTATTGAGATTAATCCATGTGTATAATTAAATGAGATGATATATCAGTTGTTAATTTATATAATGAACACTTAAGAACATGCGCGAAAATTTCTCTCAACCTTTGAATCATAAGCATTTAATAAAAATATGTTATCATGTGTTCAGGTAATCAATAGAAGCATATCGTAATTTGAATGTCTAGAAAATTTCATGAGTAATCAATTTATTCCGCTTTTTCCTTTCTCTGAAAATTGTAATATCATAATCACTACTGTGAAGTGTTATTCCCTTTGTTTCAATTTGTTTGACTTACTTTTATTTTTAGTTTGTTTAGAAAATAATGTTCCTTTTCCTTTTTCGACAACTCTGTAAACTCAACTCTCTACCTGACATGCTTAAGATCTACAAATTATAGAGCATTTTGATACATTTAACATATTTTTAATTTAAAATTATAAGATCTTTTTTTTTTTACTTTTTCAAAATTCATGCTAAATTAAAATATACTCCATAGATATGTAAAATTTATTAAGTTTGACTTTATAGCCTTGCTTAGCTCAGGATAGGGCTGGTACATACTCCCTCCGTCCCTATTTAGTTGTCCACTTTAGAAATGACACACAGATTAAGGCAACAATGATTAGCATAGTGAAGTTACAATTTTACCCTTATAGTACAATTTACTTCCAAAATAAATTCACTCAAGATAACTAATCAATGATGGAAAGTTCATAAGTTTATTTACTTTATTTATGACAACTTTTCACTTTAAATAAGGGTATAATAAGAAAAATTTTATTGTTCTTTCTTGATTTGTCAAAATGGACAACTAAATAGGGACAACTAAAAGAGGAAATATGGATAACTAAATAGGGACGGAGGGAGTAATATATCAAACCTATAATAAGCAGAAAGCAAAATGGTCCCACAAATGTTGGTTAATTATAGATTTATTAAGCTATTAATTAATGTATAAATTTAATGATTTCAGGAGTCATACGGAATTAATAGAGATTGGCTAGTTAAGTAGGTGCTCCTACTTTACTTACATCCGCAAACTCTACAACTAACTCTGATTAATGGATCTTAATATTATTCGCTATTTTTTTTGTTATTTCAAATTTAGTCCTTATATTTTCATGATTCTTGCATTTTGCATCAACATGATAATTTTACTTTCGACTTTACTTTTTTTTCCCTCGTCGTTCACTTTTACTTATTCGGACTTTCAGTTATCCTTAAAAATAATAAATAAAACATACATGTATAAATTCAATTGATATTGTTATCATTGTGTAGTAATTTGATTTGTGTTTATACTATTCCTAAAGTCATCATTTAATTTTTCTCGAAAAGATGAAACGAGTTTTAAAAAAAAATTAAGTGTGAGATATGGGATGTTCGTGCAGTAATAAAATAATTGATTTTGCAATTAATTTAATTTCAAAAGTATACTTTCTCCGTCTCATATTAGTTGATTATCTTACTACAAATAGTTATTTCATATTAGTTGTCCACCTTACCAAATTAAAAAAGCGTTAATTAGTTTTTTCTTATATTACCCTTATAATTAATTCTTTAATATCTATTCAACTTTAAAAATCATGATAAGATTTTTTAACGTCCATTCAACTTCAAAAAATAATTCTTAACTTGAAGTGAAAATGATTTAAAATGATACAAAGAGATCAGTTTCTCTCTACTGATATATGACTTCAAC